GGGACAGTTCAGTACCAACACAGAATGAAAACCAAAAGGTTACAACCCACCTGGATGGTGTCCTCATCAACCAAAAATAACACTGCTGTACAAGCATTTGGGAATAGTAGAGCACTTCCAGAGGGCTCCAAAATTGATGTTCATTTTGACAGTCAGGGCCTAGACCTTTCAGAGCTAAACTGGCCAATAAAAACATTCCTTTTTTCAAGGCACTCAATTCACATTTATTTTACATAGATGCTTTAGCTTACATTTGGGCTTACAATTGACTAAAACACACAAAAAAATAAGGTCATCTGTGTTTAACTGCAAGTTAAATTTGGAGTCTTTCATTATTTCCTTTCATTTGAAAGCGTGTATGGCTTAAACTCAGCGTTCAAAAGCGTTCAGCAAGATTTTATGCATGTGTAGAATATCAGCTGCTACGCAGCATCACAAAAAGCTGGAAACAAAATGCACAGTGTATATCAACACGGTACATTCTATGAAAATCAGATTAACTTTTCTTTCTTAGGACACGTATAAACGATAAATACTTGCACACGGAGTTCCACACTGCAGAAGCGAGGTTTTCACCCAAAGAGTAAGCTTGCAAAGGTCAGCATATCCCTGAAGTTCTACCCAAGATTGTTTTAGCATCTTCCATCAGCACACACAACCTGCTTCTATTAGCAAAGCAAACGTTCGGTTTACTTCTGCTTTCCAATTTGTGGTGTAGGATTTACTAACTGATGTTTAAAAATATCAAATGTCACGATACTGTTCCTGCGCGGCGCACAGAAGAAGGGAAGGAACAGGCTTCCTTTCAGAACATAACACTTCTACACTTAACTCCTGCAAAATCGTCAGCACAACCAAGTTCAGAATACTAAGTTGGCACACCGCATTACCTGGTTACAGCCATCTGCCTTGAGTTCTTCCCACCCACTTTTACAGGGACAGCACTCTGATGTCAAACCAGCTCATCTTGTTGTGTTGTTGTTGGGTTGTTGTTTTTTTTTTTTTTTTTTTTTATGATTGTGTATAAATTGACTGGCTCCTGAGATTTGCTCACTATACTGATGCAAGATAACGAGAGGTTTAAATGCAAACAGGTGCCTTCCAGAAAAAGGGCTTTTGTCATGCGCTGCAGCTTCTACCAGATTACAAATATTCTGCTGAATAAAACATTTCTTAACGCCATTACATCTCTTAGCACACTTAAGTATTACTCAAGAGAGAGGAGCTACCCACATGATTAGTGCCAAAGAGTAACTGCCAAACAAGACCAGAGTGAAATATTCAGTTTTAAATACTGCCATACCTAAACTAGCTTAAAACAAGGCTTTATAACATCAATGGCTACTTCAGTAGTCTGTCCCTTTTTTGGTTGCTGTCTGTAACAAGACCATTTGAATGAAAAGTAGAATGCCACGCAGCCTTGTCTGAAATACACCAGTACCTCCTGATCACCTTGGGGGAAATCAAGTTTATTTCTCATTTTTCATCTCTTCATTTTTAAATAATTAAAAATGGGATTAATAATGGGAGTCAAATAGCCAGAAGGATTTTTAGTTACCAGCTAACCCAACAAAGTGCTTTTTCTTCCTCCAATATAGTCTGTGAGATGGTTCTGATGAAATGCTACCTTTCATTTCAGTCTAAGTAGAACTGTTGGAATATCAAGAATTATTATATTTTCACTTAGAAACACAAACCAGTACAAGAAAAAAAAAGTTCAGCTTCAGCTCTATCACACTTTATTTAAAAAAATAACAAGAAAACCACAGAACCACCTGCTCTTTACATCACTAGGCTCTACAAATCAATTGTACAAATGAAGCACCAACACTAAAACCTTGATTTGAAGCATATCCAGTTACCCTGCTGAGCCCCAAGCACCACCCAAAGGAAAGCAAAGTAGCCCTACAAGAGAATTTAGAAGACTTACTAACGCTCACTCCAGTTTTTCTCCATAGCTTTACCAAGAGCAGCTGTGTTGAAGTATCTGGTGGCTTCCTAACACAATGGCAGTAAAATATTCTATATGCTGTTGCCACAAAGAATGAGTTACTTGAACAGGCACGCACACACAGCAGACCTGCAATGTAACAGACCTGTGAAACCATGGTTCACTATCACTGACTGGGGAAAAAAGGGATTTCCAAATAATCTTTAAAAATAAGAGAACCAGAGCAGTAGAAGTGCAAATTGGTGACAGCTGGTCAAGAAGTTCCCAGAACTGAAGGCAGCAGATGAAGTCAGGAAAGGAAACGATGCAGGATGTAACAGAAGTCACCAAACCTAGTGGTCTGTATCCTTGTGCAGAAACAAGTTCTTCACTCACACAGACACTGCCCAGGCTGCAGAGACTTGTGCAGGATTTAGCCCCACTTCCTTTTCCCTTCCTTTCTCCTAAAACCGCATCTTGATCTCAGAGCTGCAGCTGACACCAGAAGTTACTTTTATTTTCCCCCCAAATCTGCAGCTGAAAACCACCAGCCTGTTCCAGCAAATGAACTGTTGTGCACACCAGCTCCAGGGAACCAACAACAGGTGCCAATGGTTATTGGAAAGTTACTGCTGTACCCAGAACTCACGAACGTGACATTAAAATAGGACTCCTTTTAAGAGGGGGAAAGATACGCATGGCATTAAGTCATACATCCGAGTAAATCTGATTTTTCCACCTGCAGGATCGTTTCCTTTCTTTTTTTAGCCTTCAAATGATCGTAAGCTTTAATACTGCATCCAACTATTTCAGACTAAAAACTGCAGTCCCTGCAAAACATATGTCTGAGCACTAGCTTCAAAGTGCTCCTTTTCACCCTTCCTAAGAACCGAAGCCATATTTAACTGAAATTTCAGACTTTTTATCTCCCTTCACAGATGGTAACCTGGATTTGCCCCAACACTTGCATGCTAAAACTAATAGGGCGTGAAGTTACAATTTTCCATATATACATGTGAAAAGTATGTGTTGCAGAGGAACAGTTTCCTATTGAAATCACTTTCCCATCTTTTCTTCTGGTACAGCCTCTTGAAACATCACCAGGATAAAATATGGCTTCGAAAAAACACAGCTTTTCTGTGTCCCAGCACAAGCATAGAATTACAGAGAGCAGGAGCCAAAGCTTCAATCAGCATGTTCACTTAAAATTCACTCACATTTGTCAACCTCTGTTTTGCTTAAAATGACTATTACTTTTACACCTTTAAAATGAACCTTTAGCCCACAGCTGATCAGGCACCACAGGCAAGCAAGAGGCATTTTACTTCAAATCCTGCTTTCTCTTATGCAGGAGTGTACAAGCAGAAATCAGTTGGCAATGATGTGCAACTTATGACCTTATAGCCTCCAGTGCATCCAGATGCTAAATCAAGTCCTGCTGATGTGAGCCTGCCATATGCTCACTCATCTCATACACTGCATCTTCAAAAAGCAGATCCCTGCTTCAAGTGAAAATAAATTACTTTTTGAGGACAGGGTGCCACTTGATGAAAAGTATGGTCAGTTTTTCCCTCAAAGGTTCTGATGTTATTCTAATACGGAAGCAGAAATACACTGAAAGGACCGTTATGTGGGAAAAAAGCTAACGTCTTTAGGAACTCATTTATGGTATCATTTTTGGACAGCAAACTCTCGCTTACACTTTCTTCCATAATTAATGAGACTGTACGTGATTTGGAGCTCGAGTGGGAAATTAACTCAAGCTTGAGCAAAATGGAGTTTTCCCAACCGCTACAGAGTGGTACAGCGGCATCCTCTGAGAGCACATACACACACACACAGAGGACCAGGCAAAAATGCAGCCCATGCCCAATCCACCAGGGAAGCACAACCCTCCCGCGTCCCATCAGGTCACGGTCTGCAGATCTGATCCTGCGTCCTCTGCATTCATGGGATTTTTGCCATTGGGAACCGGTGAATGGACTGTTCCTCTGTGTTGAAGCTTGAAGAGTCCTTTTTCACCAATTCCCTGGAATGTAAAAAATTGTCCACAAAAGCAACAGTTCTTTTTCAAGAAGCGATCGTTAATCGCTAACAGATGAAAAACAGCGTGGTTACACTCGGTTCCACGCTCATGAATCCTCAGATCAAGGTTTAGCTTGTTTCGAAAACACTGACCATTGCAAAGGCCGTTTCTATTTCAATCCCACCTAACAGGCTTTAGGAAAACAAAAGTTAAAAAAAACACAAAAACTTTTTAAGAGAGATTGAGAGAATAAAGAAAAAAAAAACCACCCAACATTTCGTACCAATTACACAGATCCCGTGGAGCTGTGCCGGTGCCAATGGGAAAGGGCCCGGCTCAGAGGCTCCTGGCATCACCCGCACCTCCTACGTGACCCGACAGCGGCCCGGCAGCACCCCGTGCCCCAGCCTGGCCGCTGCCCTGTCACCGAATCTGCCCTCTCAGCACACACGCTCCATTTTCCTGCGAACTTAAATGTCAGCTCCTCTAAAACATCCACTTCTGAGCAACGGCGGGCAGACAGGAAAAGAAAAAAGGCACACGCTTCGTGCAACCTCCCTCCTCCCCCTTCGGTTCCCCCCCCTCCCGATCTACAGAGCTCCGCTCCCAAGGGCAAAGGCTCCCGGCGGCAGGAGGGCTCCGCGCAGGGCATCCCGGCGGCGGCGCCCCCGGCCGACAGCGACATTCCGCCGCTCCTCGAGCAGCCCCGGCTCCCGAGCAGCACCGGCGGCGGCGGCCGGCGAGTGTTTACGTTTAAAATACATTTACACGGAGCTCGGATCCAAAGGGAAGAAGGGAAAAAAACTCCGCCCCCCTCTCGCTCCCCGACTCTCTCGGAAAAGCGATCGAAGCGAAGCAGAAACACCCGAGAGAAATAATAATAAGAAAGAAAGAAAGAAAGAAAGAAGGAAAGCGGGGTCGGGAAGGCGGCGGGACGCTGCCGGGCGGAGGGCGCACCGTCCGGGCCCGGCGGGAGGAACGGCGCGGCGGAGGCCGGGCCGGGCGGGGGGAGCGGGAGCGCCGCGAGGGGAAGGGGACACTCACGTAGCGCTTCAACTTCTTCTCCGGTGGGGACTTTCGGAGCCAGCCCGAGCAGACCACCTCCCCGCCGCTCATGGCTGGGCCGCCCGCCTCGTCCTCCTCCTCCTCCTCCTTCTCCTCCTCCGGCGGCAGCGGCCGGGCCGGGCCGAGGGAGCCCCGAGACGCGGTGGCAGCACCGCGCCCGCTCCGGCCTCCTGGGGCTGCGGGGCGAGGGAAGGGGCGGGAGGGAGGAGGGCTGGGCGCGGGCTGTGTGTGTCTGTGTCTCACGCACAACGAGCGGCCGGAGCGGAGGGCGAGCGGGGCCGGGGCGGGAGGCTCCCCTTCCTCCTCCTTCTTCTCCTCCCGCAGCCGCCGTCTCACACGCGCATCGGGAGAGCCGACAGGGGCGGCCGCCGCCCCTCCGCCGCAACTCGAGCTCCGGCGTCCCGGGGCAGGCTGCGGCCGTCGCTCCGCCTGGCTGGCACCGCCCCGCAGCCCGGGACCCTCCCGCCCCTCGGCCCCGCTGCCTGGCGGGACGCTGCCTTCCTCCTCCTCCTGCGCCGGGAGGAGGGGGGGAACGGCCCCTCCGCCGCCTCCTTCGGCGGGGCGGGAGCCACCGCCCCCCCCCCCCCCACCCCGCCGCGGGGCCGGCTCTTCTCCGGCCCGCAGGGATCCGTCCCGCTCCTCGCGGCCCCCACCCCTCAGCGGTGCCGGCACCTCCCCGCTCCGCCCGCCCCCGGGTGTCCCGAGCGGCGGCTGCCCCGAAACTCGGCCGGAGCCTCTCGCACAAACGAGGGCCGGGCGGGGCGGGCACGCGTTTCCAGAGGCTGCTGGGAGCTGTAGTCGGCACGGAGGGAGCGGCCGAAGGGGAATGCGGCGGCGCGGTGGGACGGGCGCTGGCGGCGGCCGTGCGCTGAGGGGAGGGACGGGGAGGGGGTGGAAAGAGACGGGGAAGAAGCGCAGCTCGCCTTTCCTAGCCCACCTCGAGTCGCTTTTAGGTCCGGTTTGGGGCGTGGGGGAGCGCTCTGGGGCCCTCTGTGAGAGAGCGGCGATCTGAATAACAAAGCTGCGGCCGGAGCGGTGGTTAGCGCTGTGAAACGCGACACAGCTCATTAGAGATGAAAAAGAAGAGAAAGCTATAAAAACTGCATTAAAAACACCTCGGCGAAAGTAAGCTCCTGTCAGCAAGTCTGAAGTTGCCTCGACGAAAAAAAAAAAAAAGAGAAGAGAAGAGAAGAGAAGAGAAGAGAAGAGAAGAGAAGAGAAGAGAAGAGAAGAGAAGAGAAGAGAAGCCGCAGTAGAAGTTGGGCTGTGAGCCGGAGAAGCCGGCACCCGGAGCTTTGCCGAGCCAGCCGCTGCTGCCGCCGTCAGCTATGCCCCCGGGCGTGCGGGGTGCGCGCCTGCTGGGCTCCCCTTCGGCAGCCGTGCGAGTCGTCGCCGGCGGGGGAAGCGAGGAGGCTGATGTGTGAGGCGATCCCAACTGCCGTTCAGTTAAAAGACCAAACTCGTTCAATAAGTCGTTTCTGATAATGCTTTCCGCCAAAAAAATAAAAAAAGTTTCTACAAACAAAAATATAGGCTCGGTGGTTTGTTTTGTTTTCCCGTATGATTTAATTGCAGGCTTTGGGATGGGACCGCTGCCTGCTAGCAGCAGTGCTCTTCCACCGCAGACAACTAGTCCCCCTAGTGTGCCTTCGCTGCAGGAAGTGCGCTGCTGCTTGCTGGGACCCGTCAGGGTGCGTTGTATTAGATTGTCAGACAGCGCCTGTATCATTTTACCGGGGTCATTTGCAGAAATAACAGGAAAATGAGAGGTGAAAGCCTGGAGCCATTAAAAATCCGTGCAGATGTTCACCCTAATTATTTTCTTTTATTCATGTAGCTTTAACGACTAGCAAAGCGCTATTAAGTGTAAAAAGAAAGGTGGTAAAAGAGCACAATAATTCTGCCAAAAAAAAAATAAAAATTAAAATAGCCGAATGTTGTTCTTTGTCAACATTAAAAGTGTGTGCATCCGAGCATCCAGGTGGTCCTCACTGACATCTCTGCACACCAACCTGCAACTGCATCAGTGGGCCCCAGGAAGCACAAAAGAAGTGTTGTGATGTGTGGAGCTGGTGACGATGGACTGAAATGGCAGTGCTAGGTCTAAATTTTAAGCTGACTTTTGCTAAAACTCTTTTGTTTAAGCTGCTAATGCAATTTTTTAAGAATTTCCACATTATCTCAAAATGTCAGATAAGACCACAATGTTTTCCACTCTTCTTTAGAAACCTGGAGGCAATTTAGTATTATCAGAGCACAGATAGGTAGAATCAGTGTGAATAAAAATTCCATCATCGTCAGGATGTTATAGCATGATCCAATCGTCTGTTTAAATCCCGCTAATTAGCCCTAATCTCAAGGGCTAATCAAATAAAGACAGTCTTTTGGCTTAAACAGACTCTACGGAAGCACCAACATAACAAGTTACCTAACCTGAAGACACACAATTGTCCAATTTCAAAACACAGTATTTGTATATTGAAATACACGGAGACCAGCGTTGCCCTGGAGTCCAGCTTTCATTTGTCACACAGTTTCAATAACAATCCATTTTCTTGAAAATAGTTTTGCAGAGCCACACTTTGTGTGTGAGTTACATCTCTGCAGTGGAATGATCAATTACAGCAGAAATAATGTCAAAAATAGCAATGAATAAGTAATAAGAACTTCCTTCTAGGCCATATCTTGTTGTTAAGAATTGCTGAATTTGGTAAAACGTCCAATATCAAAGAAAGATTTCCAAGTGACTAAGGTCTTGTCTAATGGGATGATGCTTTTCTAATAACAGTAGATTTCCCTTCCTGCTCTCAGGCATTTGAATTACCCATTCCTGAAATTAGGATAAAAGTCACAGAGACCTCCATCAAGAGTAGAAGTTTTGGCTAGTTTTCGTGCTGTGATTTGGCTTTGAGACTTAAAACAAGGCCAAGCACGGCCTGTTTTGATGCTATCCCGATCTCATGCAGGGAGGCACGGGCCCAGCTGATCACGGCGTGCTGGGGAAACTAACATGGAGTCACTGCATCACGCTGCCCTTGGGCTGGCTGGCTGCTGTGGCAGTGTGTGAGGATGCGGCTGCCCTCTCCTCTTGGTCCCTGCAGCTTATAACCATACAAGAGTGCTGTTATTCAGGAAGCTCGCAGAATAAAGATCCTTTGAGCTCAATTAATTGCACCGGGGAGATCTTTTGTGTTTTTGTTCAAGAACTATCCTGGAGGGAAAGGGATTTACTTTGCCTTGCTAGCTTGTCAGTGATGGCCCAAAAAGCTGAAGAGGTTTTGCTGTGCACACTATAATCAGTCCTGCTCTTCAGTTTTCTAAAGACTTCATTCTGAGTAAGTGATGCCTTTTTTTTTTTTTTTTTTTTTTTTTTTACACATGAGCTTCCCTTGATTTACACTGTCTGTTTTCTTACAAGCAGTAAGGAAACGATGCACTGCCACCAGTTACGTTGCAGAGGCTTTCCCCATTTCTAAAAACGCAGCTTACAATTGGTATTTACATGTAGCCAAGGAGCAGACGTGCCCAGCTGAGCTGTGAAAGAAGGGAGCTCGGCTGGAATTCCCACTGGCTATAATGCCAGCATAACTCCAGGCCCAGCTTCTACACAGTTGCATGTGTTACTATTTATGAACCCCTGTTGTCGCCCAACTCAGCATCCATTTTATGATCAGACACTGCCACGAGCTGCGTTGTGTGGAACTCTGAACAAAACACTAAGTGATACTGCACCTTGCTTTGTGACTGCTCTTTCCCTAGCATAGCTAATTGCCTTGGACATCAGATGCCTCTGCCTTGAGTTGTCTCAGTTGCTGCCTTCCTTCTATGAAAGATGCCTTCGTTCCTCTGCTGACTTTGTGTTCATTTATGAGTGCCTTCTAAAGTGTTTTAAATGGCTTCTCCAAAATTTCAGAGTAGACTGTTTATATAGCTCACCACATAAAGTAGGTCATGTGTAAATCAATTTGCTCCTGGTTTGCCTGCCAAGCCCTCTTGACAAAGGAAACAGGAGCTGATAGATGAGGAGATTAAATTCCTATGGATTTGTTTCTAAAAATATAAATGATACTAATTTCTCATGCAAATGGCTTAGGAATTTTAGACTTGCATAATAAAACACCGCTTGCTACACATCTTGACTTTGTGTTATATAATGTGAAAAAACTACACATTCCTCCAGTAGTTTCGCACTGCTGCCTCATTCAGCTGTGGCTCCTCCTGATGATGCCTGAGCTTTTCCATGCCCTTTGCATAAATAAAACTTGCACTTGGTCATGTCACAAGAAAGTTAAAACTCTAATGAAGAAAAAATGTATTTTATATCTCAGACTGTATTGCAAAACATGTTTGGATAATTATGCAACAGTGAATTGGTGCAAAAATCTTTCAAGCTTGAAAAAAATCTCCAGCAGACATTTGTTTTCTTCTCATCTCTCTCCCTTTAGTTCAGAAATATTCAATAAATTCAATCTATGGAGTTCTTTTGTCACTGGATGACATCATCCAGTATTTACTGATTTCAGATTGCAGTTTTTTTAGATGATTTGGTAAATAGATTTAGAAAAGAGTAATACAAACCAGATTTAATTAGATGAGATGACTTAATATCCATACACTTTAGAATTGTTTACAAGTCATTAAACTACCTCTTGTCTGATTTCTATTATTCCTTTCAAGATTGATGCAGGTAAATAGAAGTCTACACTGCAAAACTCATTAAAAAAAAAAAGAGCAGTTTTCATTTCTTCATTGGTGTAATACACTGAAAATTTCCTTGTGATTTGTTTAGAAAACTCTCCTTCCCACTCCTGACATGGAAATTCACTGATAAATGTTGGTCCTTTGTTTTTTGCAAGGGGATCAATTGACTACCATGCTCATGCAAGGGAGTAAGAAAGAAGGAGCAGGCAAGCTGGTTGGCCAGCCATCCAGAGACGTCCTCAGATCTGTACTGCTTGTAAAATGAATCAGCAATATTTTCCCTCCATAAGGACGATACCTTTGCACCTATCCTAGAGTGCTGAAAACAAGTTGGCTTCTTCTGAACACAGGAAGGATTTCACAAAGTTCTGCAGGATGGAAACTTAACAAGACGAGGTTGATTTGATCCTGTAATAGGAATATGAATTACTGTAAAGATGACTTTTCAGGAGAAATTGTAATGCATGGTCATACAAGAGACCAGACCATGGTGTGCGTAGCCAAGATTTCATCACCCAAACCCAAAGACACACAGTGAAAGATGTATTGAATTCTTCCCCTCCAAAAAATTATTGAAGTGTAGAGAGTAGGGGGAAACTAGTTAAAGGCTGAGAGACAGCAAATGAGAAGATCTTTCAGGATGAAGGTTTCTGTGTCAACATAAAAAAAAAAAAAGCATCTATCAAAGCACCTATCATCACAAAGCAGGGATGACAGCTAGGAAGTACCTTTCTAACAAGTTCTCAGACTTCAGAATCACACATTGGAACCCAAACTCACGTTATTTGGGATCTGCTGCTTTGCAGAGAAATTATTATGAATTATCTTATCTGCAGACTTAGGGATACCTCCTTCAGAAATCATTAGCCTTCATTCTAATCAGTAGCTCTTCAGACAGCCACATTTAATCTCTTCTGTCTCACTTGAAGAAAAAGAAATGCCTGCCTTCCACCCTAATACTTTCTACCCAAGTAAGGACAGTTTAAGAGTTGGTTCTGGCAATCGCCTACAGCATCAGCCAAAGAGGAGTCCTATTGTATTTAGCCAACAAGCAGTACAAGTCATCTAGGCTGGATTTCATCCCACTGTAGTCATCTACAGTGAGGTCATTTGCATACGAGTTACTCATCTACACATCCTTTATAGTCAGTGGTGAGATATAACCAGATAGGATGCATTTTGTCTCTTCCAAAGGAAGATGTTTAAGATGATTGGTTGAATTGCATTCTTGAAGTGCTTCTTTATCTGCACTGACAATAAGAAGAGTCAGAACAAGCTGCTTGGCAGGAGACAGACAGCTTTGCTAGTAAAATGTAAAGCTAGGTAAAATGAAACCTCAGCACCTAAGTCAGGAAAGCAAATATATTCTCGGAGATGAATGCCAGTCCCAAATTATTATGGTTATTACTGTTGTTGTTATCCTATTACCATAATTCAGTAATTAAAAATCTTAGGAGTCTAGTGTTTTTGAGAATTTTCAAGGTCCTCAGACTTGATCAATAGGAATAGATCTACTAAATTTACAAGTTAGATAAAAAGATTTGAAAAACAGGATAAAGCACTTTGCAGCGAAGCCAGGACAATCCTTTCTAAGCAGAGCAACCAGGAGAGAAATGTCTTTCTGCAGTTACTTATAAAACCTTCAGTGCTTGGGCTTAAATCTCTCACAGCCCACTTTGTAGAAGATATAAGTGTTTCTAACATTGCTTTTACTTAATCAACCCCTACTACAGTATCTAAGGTCTCTATAACAGTGACAGGCTGAGAGAGCCAGAGCCTTTCAGCCTGGAGAATAGGAAGCTCCAGGGGACCTTATAGAGGCCTTCCAGTATCTGAAGAAGGCCTACAGGAAAGCTGGGCAGGAATTCTTATAAGGTCGTGTAGAGACAGGATGAGAGAAAAGGGCTTTAAACCAGAAGGGGGTGGATATAGACTAGATAGTAGGAAGAAATTCTTTACAGTGAGGGTGATGAGACACTAGAACAGGTTGCTCAGTAAGGCTATGAATGCCCCCTCCCTGGGAGCACTCAAGGCAGGCTGCGTGGGGGAGGCATTCCTGTATACAGTAAGGGTGTTGCAACTAGATGATCTTAAGGGTTCCTTTCAACCCAAACCATTCTATGATCCTATGATTTAAAAACACCCGTAAGTGGAGTAGGAAGGTGTACTACTTTTCTGCCTTTCCAAA